ATATATATATATATATATATATATATATATGCTCCTGGATACATATAATTGTTATGTATATACTAGCACATCAAAGAAACTGATTAGCACAGTCTCAATATTCATGGCGTTTTCTGCAAGATTCTGGTAGGTCTGATTTTATTTTTGCAAAAAATTATTAATATCAATTTACATAATTATTATTTTGGAAAATAACCCATCTGTCTTCCTAAGAATAACTAAATTTTACCATTTTCATAAGATCTAACCAGTAATAGACTTTATCCAAATGGAAACCCATTTCTGGCTTAATTAGACATTTTCCAGTTTGTATCAATAAAGTGGTCCTCCTTTATATTTTGGTAATGATTTAACTAGTTTCCTCTCGATGTGACTGTTAGTTTTACATATTTACAACCAGTTAGTTGTCATTGAGACTAACATTGTATATGGTTTGATTTTGGCATCTCAGTGATGAAATGCAGACTTCAAAGTCTAAATTCCTAAGTTAAAAAAAATGTGTTCACGTTCAGATATTTGATCTTTGACTGACATCAGCAGACCTCTTCCTTCAAAGCACAATGCGTGCTGCTTTGTACCCCAACGATTCTCGTGACATTCTTTGTTATACAGACAATTGATGGGATCATAGGCACTCACTGTGGCATGGCTCCAGGTTTTGATTTGAAAGCTAAACTTTCACTCTCAGAATCTGTTGAACTGGCACCTGAAAAAGTAGAAAATGACAAAATTAAGATTTGAGGGTATCTAGAACTGCTTCAGAGAGTACTATTTTTCATTTTTAAATAACATACAATGTCTTATTTTGAAATAGGGAATGATTCAGACCATTTTTATTTGGACTGTTTTTTCAGAAACCTACTTAAAGATCTACTATAAAAAGCTTTCTTCAAAGCAATTGTTTTGAATGCCAAATCTACTATTAGTTTCATTTCTTATCACTTTGGCCACCACAACCAAATTTCTAAGTGGCTTATAAACTATGAAATAAATGTATGTGTCTGTGTAAAACATCCAAGGTTTTAAACTTTAACCCTTTCTTGGGAGATTACATTGTGTGGATTCTCAATGTCTTCATTACTCATTAATTAGGAGATGTTTTCTGAGTCTTTGATAAATTAGAACAAAATAGTGGCTTCATTCTTGACTAAGAATGTCTCCAATTTTGGATCACCCTCTCCCAAATTCATTCGCTTCTTTACTGTTTGTGAATTGAGGGTCACCTTATGTTTTTGGTCAAAATACAAAATGTACTTAACATTTTAATGCTCATGTGTTTTGTCACAAGAGATTTTAGGTGACAGATTTAAAATAAGTGTGATCAGGGGCGCCTGGGTGGCGCAGTCGGTTAAGCGTCCGACTTCAGCCAGGTCACGATCTCGCGGTCCGTGAGTTTGAGCCCCGCGTCAGGCTCTGGGCGGATGGCTCAGAGCCTGGAGCCTGTTTCCGATTCTGTGTCTCCCTCTCTCTCTGCCCCTCCCCCGTTCATGCTCTGTCTCTCTCTGTCCCAAAAATAAATAAACGTTGAAAAAAAAAAATTTAAAGTAAGTGTGATTAGAGGTATATTCTTGGTATTGCTTTGATGAAATGTATTTAACTTGAGTTAGAGATACTTTAATATAAACTAATACATGCTTACAGAAAAGTAACCAAAGAGAGAATTGTGTGACATAATACTAAAGACAGTATCTTCCTTAATGCCATTCTGCACATGCTAATGTGTATTTGTCAGAAAAACTTATTAACATACATTTATGTATATGTCTATACAAATGGAATCACACTATACGTACTCTTTGCAGTATATTTTAAATACATTTAGAATAGGGGCGCCTGGGTGGCGCAGTCGGTTAAGCGTCCGACTTCAGCCAGGTCACGATCTCGCGGTCCGTGAGTTCGAGCCCCGCGTCAGGCTCTGGGCTCATGGCTCGGAGCCTGGAGCCTGTTTCCGATTCTGTGTCTCCCTCTCTCTCTGCCCCTCCCCCGTTCATGCTCTGTCTCTCTCTGTCCCAAAAATAAATAAAAAACCTTGAAAAAAAATTAAAAAAAATAAATACATTTAGAATATATGCATTAATGTAATTTCTTGGATGGCTACCCCATGCTACTTTCCATGACTGTATTTTTCTAGTCTTTTATTAATGTTTTAACAGTCATGTTTAAGTAACTCTGCTGGAATGTTTGCTGTCCATTCCTATTTATTTAATACTTAGTATAGACTTTCTTCACTTAGTTCCTGCACTACCACAATAGATTCTTATCTTGTCTTCTTAGGTCAGTCTTCAAACTCTTATCATTTTTTAATGTAACATATGTTAAAAAAAAAAAAAAAAACTAAGATGATGAGTTTCTATTCTGTAAATTTAAAAACCTAAAACCCTGCTATTTAGTGACTCGCATGATTTCCAACCAGATTTTCTAGCTCTATCGGCCAAATTCCATGTCCTAGAACCCCAATGCAAAGAGCTGAACATACTGGCGTGCACTGTCTTCTCTGAACTCCCCATGTTCTTACTTTACTACTCAGGTCCCTTATAACATCCTATATGCTAGAAAATTGTAAGTTCTTTGAAAAATTGAGGTGGAGTTAGTTACCAATTTTTGAGTACTTACTGCTTGCCTGGCAATCTGCTTTGCACTTTATAACATATATATTTTTTAATGTTTATTTATTGAGAAAGACAGCACAAGCAGGGGAGGGGCAGAGAGAGAGGGAGACACAGAATCCAAAGCAGGCTCCAGGCTGTCAGCATAGAGCCTGATGCAGGGCTCGAACTCACGAGCCGTGAGATCTTTACCTGAGCCAAAGTCGCATGCCCAACTGACTGAGCCATCCAGGTGCCCCTATTATATTATTTTAAATGTTTATTTTTGAGAGATAGAGAGACAGCATGTGATCAGAGAAGGGGCAGAGATGGAGGCGGGAATAGAGGATCTGAAGCAGGCTCTGCGCTGACAACAGAGAGCCTGATATGGGGCTCAAACTCACGAACCATGAGATTACGATCTGAGCTGTAACTGAATGCTTAACTAACTGAGCCACCCAGGTGCCCCAACATTTAATTACAATAACTCACCTAAGAGGTGAACTATGTCCAATTACACATCAGAAAATTGAGGAACCAAGAGATTAAGTAATTTGCATAAGGTCACATAACTAGAAAGCAGTGGTGAGAGGCTTTTTGAACTTGTGGTCCATGACTTCCCTCGTACCGTTATGACCTTCACGTGCCATGGAGGTCCGTAACTCCTCTGAGGGCTTATTTTCATGCCTCGCTAATGGCAGACCTGCAACTTTTTGTAGAATGAGTGAATGGAACCGTGGGAACTGCAACACTTGTCTGGGGTTGGAAAGTGAACTAAGCAACCACAGAAGAGCAGCATGCTAGGGGGCAGCAGCGGGAGGCAAGTCTAGAAATGGAAGGGGAGATGTAGAAGACAGGGCCACAGTGTTTGGACTTCATTCTAGGCACGGAGATCGGTGATGGGGAAAGTCAGTCATGCAGGATGAGCTGGGGGAGTAACAAAATGAAAGAGCAGCACAACTGGCCAACCATCACAAACAGATGACAGAGGGGCACCTGGGTGGCACAGTTGGTGGGGCTCTTGGTCTGGACTCAGGTGGTGACCTCGCAGTTTGTGAGTTCGAGCCCCTTGTGGGGCTCTGGCTGGTGGCACAGAGCCTGCTTGGGATTCTGTCTCTCCTCCTTTCTGCCCCTCCCCCGCTTGTGTGCAAGCGCTCTCAAAATTAAAAAAAAAAAATTTAATAGGTGATAGAGATGGAAGGAGGAGGAGGTATGGGAAGGGAACTGGGGAAACATGAGCAAAAATCAGTAGACTCCATTACCAGAAAATCATGGGTCATCTGAGATCAATTTTACTAGAGTCGCCAGAGTTTCAAAGAGGGAGAGAGTAGCAAAAGTCCTACAGAAGTTATCACAGATGCTCTCAAAGTGGCTAGAAATTGGGGACACCAATAGCTGTTTTTCATCTGATTTCAAACATTTAATAAATCTTAAAAATAAAATCCCCTGATTATCTACTTAGAAAGTCTTTCTTTTTTTCAAATTCCTTTTTTCCAGCTGATTTTCAGAGAAAGGTAAAGGGCCAAAAAGGTTTCAACCCCTGGAAAAGAAAACCTTTGCTAGTTTTTGCACACCTGTCCAACCCTCGTGAAATCTCAAAGTCACCTTGTGTCTCAGGTGTCAGAGCAGCTCTTGCAGACGGTGGTGGATCAAATCTCCCTCTCTGTGCCAGCAAGTTCCCTTCCCCCCTCAAGGATTCTCCCCTCCCTCTCTCCTTCTGTCTCCTCCCTTTGGTCATCTGCTTTGCACCTGCTAGTCAGGAAAGGACATTCCTGTCTCTGGTTAACATTTTCGTATTCATCAAACCACCACTTTCAGCTTTTGATGGAAGCTCCAGTCTGACATGTTCCAGAACTTACAATTACTATCCGTCTATCTGTTCATCAGCCTAAATGCTATTTCTATATTGCTCCCCACACAGAGGAAGGGAATTAAATGCCCATGATCTCTGCTCTATTCTGAAGATACAAGTGCCAGTGCAAAGGTCACAAAAATACACCTGCTATCTTGCCTTTAAAAGGTGTTCTCTTTTCACTTAAAGAACGTACCCTATTTAATACTTCCTCATAGGAAAAGACCCAGAAAATGCCCAATAAGCAAAAATTAAAGAAAAAAAATCATTTGGAATACCACCACTCAAGATACTTTGGGGTATATCCTTCCAAAGTCTTCCAAAGTCTGTCTAAAAATGCATAAACATTTTTAAAAGATGATGTTATGCATATTGCTAAGTTATTGCTCGTTCCCCCTACTCAATACTTTGTGAAACACCTTTGGGATTTCTGACATCCCAATGGTGTGGGATGTGGGATTCTGACATCAGAAACCTACTTTATAATTTTCTAATGGCTGCTTTAAATACACATGGGCAGCTTTACAATAATTTTATCTCTGCACTAGGAATGGATAGATTATTTCCATTTTTAAGTATTTTCCTAGAAAGGTGTGTAGAATAGCAATACATCAAAATGCCCATTTGCCTCACCCTCATGAAAACACTAGGTTTTCATTGTTTTTGTCTATTTGGCATCTTCCTTGATGAAGGAAAAAAAAAGCCACATTTCTAGGTGGAAGCAAGCTGGAAGTAAATGATACAGCTTCAACTTCGGCAAACAGGAAGTCTTCATGAAAGCAAGTATCAACCATTTGAAAATATATATTCACATATTAAATATATATTTGAGACCTCGAGAGACTTTAGTGAAACCAGCCTCACAGAGAAACTCCTGGAGTTCAGCCCGTGTGCATATTCTGCCTTTCAAAATTTAAGGAGTGACTATACTCTGTCCCCATACGAGTTACTCATTCTCTCCCTCCCTACTCTCTCAGTTGCTATAATCACCAGTGCAGCAATAATCATTTAAGACTCAGATAAGACCAACGGAAACAATGCCAAAGATTTAAAATTTTATAAATAATGAATGACTATAAAGACATTAAAATGAGTTTTAAAGACTGTTTAATGCCATGGGTAGATGTTTGTGACAGGTTAAATTTAAAACAAGGTACAAAGGAGTATGTAGAGTAAAATATACACATACAGGATAAAGACTGGAAAGATCGAAATATTGAGAGTAACCGTCACAGAGCAGTAGCATTACACTTGATTTTTATACCTTCCTTTTATGTGTGTGTTTTCAGTTTCTAAAAATAAAAATGTGCTATTTTTATAATAGTAATCATAGCTCACACTCTGTATCAAGGCACTGCTCTCAATCCTTATAGCAATCCAATTTTCTCCCAGAGGAGATGGAGGAAATGAAGCATAGAGCCACTGAAAAACTGTTCAAGGTCATGGAACTAGAAGCTAAGCTAGCCAGAAAATATTATAGAAACATTTAAAAGTAAATAATGTGAAAAATGGCCAAGGCTGTGCTTAGATTCCTTCAGCTTCTCTTAGTGTATTTTTAATTTTTTTAGGACATTTATTTATATTTGAAACAGAGAGAGAAAGAGCATGAGCAGGGGAAGGGTAGAGAGAGAGGGAAATGGAGAATCCGAAGCAGGCTCCAGGCTGAGCCATCAGCACAGAACCCGATATGGGATTCAAACTCACTAACTGTGAGATCATCACCTGAGCCGAAGTCGGATGCCCAGCTGACTGAGCCACCCAGGTGCCCCTTAGTGTATTTTTAAAATCCAGGAGAAGAAACCATGTACTCAGAAGGGCTTTACCCTGCTGAGATCAACAGGAGCCATTACTCATACAACATCTCAGCATGTTTCAAAATGTCCCTTAAAAGGGGCACATGTTTTACCTGATTACTCGAAGCACTGAGAACCTATAAATGTCACACAAGATCTGCCACGGTGCATTACACTTGCTCAAGTATCCCTGCCTCTTCCCCACATTCCTGCCCTCCTCTCCGTCCAACTCCTACAAGGTCAGGTTTAATTCCACTTCCTTCATCCCGCATTTCAGGACCACCATCCTATCCTGCCTTCTTTGCAGTTCCTAAAGCTGTAATGATCTGTGTAACCCATTTTACAATCAGAAGAGGGTGACAATGATGGAAACTGGAGGTGTCTGGATTTCACATGCTGACATTTACCTTTCCTATTTATATTACGAATTTAAGATTATCTCTTTGCCATCTAGTCCTGGAGGGTACCCCCCTCACCATCTAGGCCAGATGTGGGCCAGATTCCATCTCCTTTCTCCTTTTCCAAGACTTTGGTCTCATTCTTTCTTGCCCTTCTACATGATCTAGGTTTTCCCTCTTGGATTATTTGCATTAGCATAGGATACATACTCTAGTTATTCTGGTATGAAAACAAATAAGCAAAGTGAAAGAAAAAAAATCTTTTTTACCCCACAGTTCTTCCCAGATTCTGGCTCACACCTCTGCTGATGGTTGAACAAAACTTCCCCAACATGATCTATTATTTGTTGCTTCTCTTCGTATATTTTGCACACATTTTCTCAACTCATTCCATTTGACCGTTGTGCTCTCCAGATTCCCCAAACCCCTCTTGTTAAAATCACCAACAACATCCACAGTTGCTGAACCCAGTGGTTTCCTCCTTGTCCTCATCTCATTTGGGCTCTCAAGCATCTGGAGAGCGAGCTGGCATCGTCCTGTCTCCCAAAACATGTCTTCTGCCTCCTCTTACACCACTCTGACTAGTTTCTCTTCCATCCCAGGGCCATCCTCTTGGAAGTTCAACATGTAGGAAAGATTATCCCAGGCGCAGACTGAGATTTAAGCTGTAATTTATTTTGTGTCATTCTAAAACTTGCTGCAGAGGACAGTGAAATTTAGACAGTTTCCAACCACTACATTAAGTTTTTAGAGGTTTTGTTGAGACTCTGAAGTTCTATAAAAAAATGTCCTACCCTCAGTAGATCCTGCAAATGACTGCATGCTGACACAGTAATAGCAGTGTGGCTTAGGATACAATTCAGTAGAGATATGTCTGAGTCTAATTCAGTGTTGGAATGAGTACATATAAAAATTTCTTACTTTCGGTCATAATACGAGAGTAAGAATTTATGTGAAATTCTCTTCTATTACACGTAATTGTTCTTTGGGATGAAAATACACAAAAATCTCATTTTTTTCCCTGTGAATTATGATCCAAACTTTACAAGGCCAAGGAGCCAGTTTTCCGAAGTACCTTGTATTAGGCTTAGGAGACTAACTCCTAATGGATCTTTATTCTTGCTCTGCCCAGTTCCTTCACCCTCTCCTAACACACAGTCTGTCTGAACTCACAGATACCTGCTGGCTGGTTGGCTAAGTAAGTCCACTGTTAACAGCGCACTGGGAAAAAATCCATTATCTTTGTTAAAGTCCTGGCACGGTATATAGAACCAGAGATTACTTCTCACATATTGATAACTCATCCAAATGATTTCAAAGGCAGAAGTGGACCGGCAGTTCAGGAGCTTCCATACAGAAAAGCCCAATTTTTTTTTCAATATATGAAGTTTATTGTCAAATTGGTTTCCATACAACACCCAGTGCTCATCCCAAAAGGTGCCCTCCTCAATACCCATCACCCACCCTCCCCTCCCTCCCACCCCCCATCAGCCCTCAGTTTGTTCTCAGTTTTTAAGAGTCTCTTATGCTTTGGCTCTCTTCCACTCTAACCTCTTTTTTTTTTTTTTTTTTTTTTTTTTTTTTCCTTCCCCTCCCCCATGGGTTTCTGTTAAGTTTCTCAGGATCCACATAAGAGTGAAAACATATGGTATCTGTCTTTCTCTGTATGGCTTATTTCACTTAGCATCACACTCTCCAGTTCCATCTACGTTGATACAAAGGGCCATATTTCATTCTTTCTCATTGCCACGTAGTACTCCATTGTGTATATAAACCACAATTTTTTTTATCCATTCATCAGTTGATGGACATTTAGGCTCAGAAGAGCCCAATTTACTGAAATAAAAATAAAGACTGTGGTGGGAATGTTTTGGGTCTACCAGAGTTAGATATCAAAACTGATTTTAGAGGTAGAGAAATATTTCCTTTCATTATATCAATAGTAGGTTTATCTTACATATCTTCCAGTTAACCTTTTTAAGCTAATCTGTATCCCTGTAACACTGGATACATTTTTATTATATCACTTATTATAACATCACTTAGAGTCTGGTTATTTTTTTTTAACGTGCCCATCTCTGCTGTTAGATTGGGAACTCCTTGATACTTGAAGAATGGGTCTTAATCATGTTTGTACCTGCATTATCTGACCACAGTAGGACATTAAATGCAGGCTGAAATGATCTGGTAGTCTATTCAACTGCATGTGATTTCACATAACACCTATAACAGCAATAAACTCTAAAATTCACCATTTTCACCATATTTTACCATATTTCACCATATTTTAGCAAAGCTAAAAGCAAATAAAGCATTTAATTTTAAGAGGCTCTATCTGAAGTTGGATTTAGAAGACAAATCTGATCATCCTTAGCAAACAGGTTTCTTATGCAAGTTTAAGTTCCCTTCATTGTATTCTAAAATACTTTACCATGTTTGCCACACAGCCCACCCATGGCTAAAACCGTTAACTTATTAAATTTTAAGTCTTTTTGTCATTCATTTAGCACTCTGAAACATGTATGACACAGTGGTTAAAAATCTGGGCCTTGGAGCAAGACTGCTTGGGTTCAAATCCCCAGGGGGCTTTGCAAGAGTCGCTTTAACCTCTCTGGGTCTCAGTTCACCATTTATAAAAAGGAGATACTGTACTAATAATATCTCATGGACTTACAGAGAGGTTTTGATCATTATGCATGAGTATGTACACACTTATAAATGCCATGTAAATATTATTTATTGTTCTATAAAAAGTGTTTGCTTTCATTAAGAGGGCAAGGTCCCTTGAGCTCACAGATATTCAAAGACAGTGCAGAGGATCCTTTTACTGAAAGTAAAGATACACGCTTTTAGTCAGTGGTAATAGTTCCTCTAAAATTTCTTTCGTCAATTCTTGAAAGAGTTACAAATTATGATTCATATCTTGATTTTTTCTACTTTAAATAAAGAAATTTAGTGATGTTAAACAGTTAAAAAAAACAAAAAGATGAAGAGTAAGTTCATGAAGACCTCAAGGATTTTAATCTTTTTTTTGAATTTCAACTACTATTTTCTCTTCTGATTTTTTTTTTTTTTTTTGAGAGAGAGAGAATAAGAGGGAAAGAGAGAAAGAGACAGAGAGAGAGAGCCCGCACGCAAGCAGGGGAGGGTCAAAAGGACCCAGACAGAGAATCCTGAGGGAATAAGGGCTGGATCTCAGGATCTCCCTACTGTGAGATCATGACCTGAGCCTAAATCAAGAGTCAGACGCTTAAGTGGCTGAGCCACCCAGACTCCCCTTAACTACTACTCTGAAAAGCAACCAATTAACAGAGTACTCACCAATTTATGGATATAGAAACAAAACATATACTGTGGGTGCTGAAAACGTTTCCAACTTAAATTATAGGTATTGATCAAAATCCAATAATAGTGTAAAACTATATACTTTCACGTCAAGCTTTCTAATTCCCCGCAGGCTGAGTCTTGTCAAGAACAAAAGAAAAATTCTACTTTCTGCCTACCCATTTTCTAATACAACACTGATCCTTGAAGTTTTTTCATCCTGCGATTGCAAGTTCACAATACATTTAGCTGGAATAACGGAATTTCACAAAAGAGGCAAAAATTCTAGAATTGAATACAAATGAGAACATTTAAAAATATTCAATCCTTTAGCATTCCCATGAACGATTTCCCAAGTCATTTATAGTTTAACTCTATCTGGTCGATAGACACGGTTTTTCTAGATGTTCCCATTCTCTCTTCACTAGAGAAATCAAAAATGAGTTAGACACTTTACATGTTAAGTAAATTCAAGTTAACGCAGCTGAAATGTTTTCAATTAAAAGGAACAAATATTGACATTAGCTGATGTATGCCCAAGTGTCAGACTGTTCGTTATAAAATTCTCAGGAGAAACGAGGTTTCAATCACGCCGTTATGCTGTTTGCATTGGGAAAGCATGTTCACAGGGAAGCTCTACTCAAGCTATCAGACCCCAACCACCCCTTTAAATCATGCACCTCTCCTTACCTTCGATGAACACCTCGGCAGATGTTGTGTCTGAGCCGCTGGGGTTTGTAGCCAGACAGGTATAGCGACCTGTGTCGTCCTCAAAGGCCTCTGCTATGACCAGGGTGTGGAGGTCCCCACCCTCACAGCGGATCTGAATGTCGGGAGTGTCCTGTAGCTCCTTCCCCTCACAGAACCATCTGCAGGCCAAATGGAGGTCAAAGGGCAGGAGAGAAAGAAAGGAAATGGTGATGTTTAAAACAATAAAGCAGAAGTGAAAGGCTGTAATAAGATGCTTGTTTGATTAAAAGAAAAAAAAAAGATCTGTGCTGATGTTACTGAGGGAAACCTTAGAGACTGTGAAATTAATGACTAGACATTGCCCATAGGTTTTCTTCGTAAAGCATCTTGTACATCAACTTCAAAATAAGGGATATCACCAAACTTGGAAAGACCATTTTAGTTACAAAATAAAAGGAACAGAAATTCACAGTGTCTTCTTATAAAATGTTTTATCGTAGATGCCTCTTACAACTTTATGATTCTTACCTAAAGAAAAATATGAAATCTAAACATTATGCTCAAAATATCTAATGTATCAGGGGAAACTAGTCATCATGTTGAAAAATCGTAGGCAGCACTGTTTTTGTTGACCCTAAGACTCCCGATCAGCTGAGCAATAGCAGATTTAATGGCTTCCACATTTCTGGTATTTACAAACCTTTCTAGCAGACCGCCTGGCCTCCACGAGGTAGAGAGATGCTGGATGTGCTGTAATTCATTCTTGCTGGTCAGCACTTTTCCTCTCCCAAACAACCAGGACCTGGGTGTAAGAGGCTGCAGGCTGCCAGACTGTTTTAGCACATGCTGTCTCTCACACACACTTGCCTTATTCCCCCAGCACCTCATACTCTCAACAGGATTTTCACAAAAAAAACATGAAGCTGCCCTAAAACCTCCCCTAAATGTGATTTATTTTTAAAGAAATATGTAGGAATGTACCACTTGCAACCAAAAGCAATGAAGTCTCTGGGACAGTATTGTCCACTTACCTCTTAATCAGCACTCAGATTTCCTCTGAGTCTCATATTCTATGAAATTCTTTGGACTTTGCGTCCTTTTATAAAAATAGGGCATCAGAGACTTTTTTCTATATTGAGATAGAATATAGGTATTTATATTTAATCTGAAAATAAAACCAGTTTGCTAATACTACTCAGGGGATTAATTCCCGGAACTTAAAAATTAAATACGGGTTAGTCATAAAGGAACAGATAAGACTTTGGGAATTAGAAAACATTTACCACCACCACTCAGCCAACAGAGCATCCTCAGCAACAACACACATACTACTTCTGAGACTGTTGAGAAGGGCAGGATTTCTTGATTCTAGGGCATTTTCTCATTTCCTGTGTCTTCATACAGTCCTAGAGAACATTCCAGCCTAGAGCCAGCTTCCAGTTCATTCTATCCTGTTCTCTTTCCATAATCCCAGACCAGATCTTCACCCATGAGAACTGACTGTGGATTAAGTTGATTTCCCCATCTGCAGTAAACTATAGATTCTTTCTCTATTCTATATCAGATTAAAGCTCTTCCCTACATACATCAGTCTTTCAACTTCAGACCTGTCATTGCAGCCATTCATATACCTGGCCCTGATTTTATTTTTTTATCATTTTCCTATACTAACCCTCTGCTTCTATTAAATATTTGCATGAATTTATTATTTCCTACATAGTCCTCATGTATCACTTGCTGATTTTCCTTTGCCTATCCTTTCCCTTCCTTGGGATTCTCTCCTCCCCTCTTCATTAAACCCACCTAGGAACCACTCTTCCTCATAGTCAAGCTATAGGCTCCTGTAACAGATGAAATTCTACTGAACACATGCTTGCTGGGCACCTTCCATATGAAAGGCACTACATTACATCTTACAGGTAATGCCTGGTAAACTCTGCAACTAGTTGAGTTTATACTGTCAATAAGTGTCCTTATCTTCCATGGAAAAGATACAAACCAACATTTGGACGTAAAGTTAAGCATCATAAGTACAGTGGAGGTTTAAGAGAAGGAAAGAGTAACTGCTTTGGTTAGATATGCTTCATAAGGAGACCTCTGCCTCGTACTCGAGGAGTGTGATATCTGGTCCTCTAACTCCTAACTCCTGGGTCAGCAAACCTACAGCCGGCAGCCCCCATAACCTGTTTTTGTATGGCCCATGAGCTGAGAATGTTTTTTAGATTTTTAAAATTTTTCAGAAAGAGGATAAACTTGTGATATATGCAAATCATAGAATGTCCAAATGTCAGAGGCTATCAAGTTTTTTTGGGAACACTGCCATGCTCGTTCACTAACTCATGGTCTCTGGCTGCTTTTGCATTACAGTGACAGAGTTGAGTAGTTGCATCAGAGCACATGGCCCACAAATCCTAAAATATTTACTATCTGGACTTTATAGAAAAACTTTGCCAACTCCTGCTCTAACTTCTTGCTCCTCAAAGTGTGATCCTTGGACCAGCCGCATCAGCATCATTTGGGAGTTTATGAGAAATGCAGAATCTTGATCCTCATCCCAAATCTACTCCCGTCAGTTCAGATCCTCCAGGAAACTCACGTGCATGCAAAGGTTAAGCAGTTCTGGCCTTTTAGGTTTTGACCATGCTAACCTGCATCACTGGGTCCTGGCTTTCCCTCTAGGATGCTCATTTCTTTAATATAGCAACCGTATTTGATGGGTCTTGTACCTCTAGTCCCTTGCACAAAAATGCATGTAGAATTACGTTCTGTTTCTCCTACCTCTGTACTAAACACATTTGAACATCTTTCCTTTGACAGTTGATCACATAGCACTTTGTGATAGCTTCTATACTATTTCCTCATACTGTTATTTGAGGCCTACTGTATTCGTGATTTTCCCACCTAGGAAATAGGCTTCCTCATGGCAGAAAAAATTCTTAACTTTTTTTATTGATCCATTGTGTATTGTATACTTGATGCTTTCAAAATACTATCTGCCACTTGTTATTCTGGAATATGCTTTCCATGAAAAACCCAACAGTGAAGGATCTATGGACTACTAGATCTGGAAGATGCTATATATTCTGTCTCACTTCTTGGTGTCTGCAATTCCCATTTTCTCATTAAAGGCCCAGAAGGTCTTGCAGAAAAGAAATTTAACGCTGTCCAATCTAGTATTTACTCAACTTATTTGACCATGAGATTCTTTCTAAATTTAGCATCTACTTTCCGAGTATATGTTGCAGAATGCTTTCTAGCATACTTATCCCATACAATCTGTAGTTTTTGAAAAATGAATTAAGACCAATTATAACCTGAGCAATGATGATACGTATACGGCTGAAGACACTAATCTGTAAGCACAATAAAATACTTGAAATATACTTTAAAAATGGCAGAAGGAGTAAGGCAACAAATGCATTTTCTGCAACGGTCTATTTTGTCTTCTGAGATGGTTCAACCCTTGTCTTCAAAAATTGCATATGGTGACACGGTTGGTGCTTTGCTTACAAACCATTAGACTGATCTGCTTCTTGCTTTCTAAACACTAATGCTATTTGTTCTCCAGCTCCATGAATAAAATTTAAAAAGCATCTCTGATTGTAAAATACAGAAGACCTAGTGCAGAGAAAAGATGAAATTTGTCCCATTTCAGCATTAAGTACAATAATGAATGTGAGTCATTTATATTGCTTTGACACTCAGGAAAGTCAGATTGTTACTGATATTAAGTACCTGTCAAGTGACCAGTTCTATGTTATTAAAATGTGGTTAAGATAGGGTGTGACTCAAGGGGGGGGGGGAACTGCAAATATTTAGATGGCAGACTCCCTGTAGCAACAAGAAGGGCAGCGTGGTTCCTGGCCAATATTTAGATAAATGTGTTTAATTTATGATTGGAACCATTTGCACGCTGGAGCCAGCAAGGGCCTAGCAGAGGCTCAACTGTGACTTTAGGGAAGTTAGCTAGCCTTCCTGGTTCAGGTTCCTCATATATATGAGAACATGAGACTTTAGAGCTGTAAAATTTCATGATTCTAAGGTTCTTGGTGAAATGGGAGGGTTTTATATTTAGGACTACATTTGAAGTCTTTCCAGAAGTGATACAGAAAATTCTTTGATGAAAGGTCCAAGTAATTAAATATACTAAATATAATAGCACTTCTAAGATTATATACCCACATTGGGTCCTTAAATGTGTCAAGGGACTTAGCACCTTGTCTTTATCACTACTGTGGTACTTGACTTCCAACATTCTATTGAAATCTGTTCTTCATGTGCCTCTCTATCCTACTAGAATACAACTTTTCCCAGGGTAGAGGCCTGGCCTTTTTAACTTATAAGCATACTATATGTTCCAGCACAATGTTTGGTATATGGAATGTATTAATCATACCTTTTTATTTTCTGTAATTCTGAGGCTTTGACATCTGGGCCTTGCTGATCCCAGAAAGACCAGCCCTCCCAGAGCTAGCCCATTCTTCACAACGGTAAATGACTCCTCTGGGTGCACATTCCATATGAAAGCTAATCCTTCTAGAGCCACATTCCTACCACCCCTTCTATTGGGCTCTCACACTCAGGGACACAATTGCCCTGCTCTAATCACCCCAGGGCCAGAGAGCAAAACACTAGGAGCAGCCCCTATGCCCAGGAGTTCCCTGTGATTATTCAAACTAGCCAATCTTAAATCTGCTTACCCTGCTTCACCTGTTCCTACCTGCAGAAAATCCATAAAAGCTCTTACCCATGCTTCCCTCTCCTAGGGAGTACCTGGTGATTGCCCTGTGTTCCCCCATGGTGTAGCTCCTTAATCTTGGGAACTATGAAAAACTATCTTTCAATGGCAGTCCTGTCCTAGTCTATTGGCCTTACCATACCTGATATAAAATGCAGGTTTTGTTATTATTCTTTTAAATGTTTATTTTTCAGGGGCGGGGGGAGGGGGCAGAGAGAGAGGAGACACACAATCTGAAACCGCTCCAGGCTCTGAGCTGTCAGCACAGAGCCAAACGCAGGGCTCAAACCCGGGAATGGCAAGACCATGACCTAGGCTGACGCTGGATGCTTAATCAACTGAGCCACCCAGACACCCCATAAAACCTACATTTTTTTTTAAAGTTTATTTATTTTTGACAGAGAGAGACAGAGACAGAGACATAGAGACAGAGCATGAGTC